TAGTTATATAATGATGCTGTTAAGTATGTATTTACTCATTTATTATATGATAATATTGATAATTATTTATGCTGTAATTTAGTCTTATTTCTTATTTTAACTGTCTTCAGGAACAGGAGAGAGCATTTTTTTAACACATTTTACAAGTTTAAGTGAGATCCTTTGTCATCATGGCTAGGCTTCGCGAACGAAGTTTTGAGAAGGGCTCTACCCACGCTTGCTACAAGCGCACTGAGAGATCCTTTGTACTTAATAAATTACTATACATATACATTTATGTATATGTATGTATACACACAAAGACACAAAAATATATACATATTATCTAATTATTCTAATGTATTCTAATTCTAATGTATTCTAATTCTAATGTATTCTTATTCTACACATATGCAATACATATATATATTCATCTATATCTGTATGTACATATGCACCCATGCATGCACATGCATGCACATCTATATATCACACCTAACATCAAATATGTACATTTTACACTCTTGGTTAAACAAAATCCTCTCCTGTATCATAGTAGTACTGGGATTAAACATTATTCACATTTGCTGTCAGCAGATCCATCAGCAGGAGAGACTTTCTAACAGGACCTGTAAGCGGCAAGTAATTTTTTCAAGAACTGCAAGTTGCAATTTAAAATGTTTAAAAGGCAGGCAAACAATAAGACTTCCCAGTATAAACAGGAAAGTGTTACATATTGCAGGTTTGGAGACCAAACTATGGGAGCTAAAACTAGGAAGACATTGCCATCACCACAAATGGAACTGCTAGAAACACCTGCATGAGAAAGAAAAAAACTGGTTTAGGAATTAATCCAACCAACTGTGATTTTACACCTCATTCATAAAAGTAATAATGTATTCTTTGCCACACTAGACTACCATTTGTTGCCCTGCTGCAAGTTCACCCAGGGCATCTGACTTCAAATTGCCTACAAGACAGGCATCTTTTCTAAAATGCTTATTCAGGTTTTTTCTGTCATCAAGTGGGGAGAGAGAGGTAGTGCATGAAAACCATTTGTCCACATATGACATTAAGGATTCCTAAAAGACACCCAGGGCTGGGTGCTGTGCTGGTTTTGGCTGGGGCAAAGTTAATTTTCTTCACAGTGGCTAGTATGGGGTTATATTTTGGATTTGTGCTGAACACAGTGATGATACTAGAGATGTTTGTGTAATTGCTGAGCAGTGCTTACACAAAGCCAGGGCCTCTTGCTTTTCATACTGCAACACTGGCAAGGAAGTTTGGGCTGCATGGGAGGTTGGGAGGAGACGCAGCTGGGAATGGTGACCCAAACTGACCAAAGCGATATTCCATTTCATATGATATCATGCTCAGTACATAAAGTTGGAGGAAGAAGAGATTATTATTTGTGACTATTTTTGTGACTATCCGCTTTTGATTCGCAGTTGTTCAGTTAACTTTTGCCTGCTACCCATGACTCAAAATAATCAGTAAAAATATTTTGTAACCTAGTTCCAGTGACTCCATATGGCTGATGTAGATGAGGTTCCCAGTACTGGAGTACAATCAGGCTTGCACAAGTCAATCATAAGCCAGCCAGGAAATTCAAAGTAATTTGTTAATGTAATAAGGTCAGAGGGGTGATAAAAATGGATGCAATGGTGGTTGGAAAAAATCATGACTGGTGCTGTGACACGATTTTGGTCGCTGGGAAAAGGAGCAGACCAGCTAGGGGTTCTTGGACAGCCTGTAGATGTACGTGATGGCTAGCTCTGAAGTAGCACGCTATGCTTGCCCAATAAAGGACACATGAGACAGCTATGTTAGCAAGAGAGCAGCCAGGAGCTAGTCCAAAGCTGATCTGCGTTTATTAAAGATGGAGGGCTATTTAAGGGGAAAGGTAGAGAGGGTACTGGAAGGTAGGTGGAGCATGCAAATCCACTAACACAGATTGGGTAGAGGTAAATACATACGCAACAAGGGGGTTGAACAGCCGATGACATAACTGGGGAATAACTGGATTGGTGGATACCTAACATCATATTAACCAATAAACAGTTGTCTCCATGCCATGAGGCATAGGTCTCAACTACAAGCAGGGTAAAACTGGAAGATAGAAAATCCTACAATCTTATCTCCTCATTTCAAACACAGTTCATTTCACATGTCAGTTGTTAGTTCAGGTAGCATCTCTTCTCCTGCCACAAAGCGCTCTTTCCAATCTTCATAAGATGTATCCTCTTCTTCCTGGCCATCCCCAACAGTGCTGGAGTGGACATTAAGGTGGATATTAGAACACGTAAATGTCCTGACTGACTTCCAGCATAGCTTAATTGACCTAGTGTGAACTTGCTGCTACTGAGAGCACCAAATATTGAGAGAGCAATGGAGGGATGATCCAGGCAACAGAGGGGATCAGCCCAAGTGACTGCCAAAGCAACTTGAAGCAAGCAAAGCATTAGTATAGTCCAGGTGCCATGTTATGAATCACTGATAGAAAAAGAAAAATTAAAATAGAAGAAACACTTATTATTTACCAGCAATGCCTGGGGTTTTTGTTTTTTTTTTTGTCACAGTAGTTAAACATTAATGTAATCCTAAGGGTGTTTCATTCAGGAGCCAAAAATTTCCCGGGGAGATGACAGCAAGAAGGAGTGCTGCCAGCCAGAGCAAGCCAGGTAAACCTGCTGGGGCCAATACCACAGTAGTGAACTGCCCAGCAGAAGAGAGCTGCATTTCACTGTCATGCATCACTAACACACATACATGGGCAAGGAAAGAAAATGAACACTTTAGTCTCCAGCGTGACCATGGTGGTGACACGTTCTACTGTCACAATGAAACTGCCAACACAGGTATGTGCAGAGATGGGGTCAGCAAATGTGCTCTTAACGAGATTTTGCTTTAGGTGGAACTGGGAGATGCAAAAGATTGTTTCTGAACAAGAGATACTTAATATTGCTTGTAAATTAGCTGTAGCCTATATTGTAGCTAGGACTAATATTTAGTGGTCTATAACCAAATGCTGTAAGGAACACAGGTCTTGCTGTGACCTGCTCAGCATAGGAAGTTATTAGAGATAGGGAAAACAGCCCTCCCCAAAAGGGTGGGAGGGGGCAGATAGGGTGTTTTTCCCTGGGAGTTTGCAGTCTGGGTTCCTGTCTGTAGTTGTGTCATGTACTCCTATGGGATTGTGGAGATGGACCTGTGATGGGCCCGGGAATATCCAGGGAATTTGGGGTCTCCCTCCCCCATCACTCGGTGCTCCCTTGTGGGTGTGCAAACAAGCTGTTAAACACAACTTAACACAGACCACCACAAAACAACAAAAGGGCACAGGCTGCAGGCAGAGGGCTGAAAATGACACTGAATTTGTACTTTCCTGTTAAAGTTAATCACATCAGAAGCATATTTACACATTGTTTTCAGACTGAGAGACAACTTAGTTTTTAAAACATTGTCCTCTGATGCTGCCCACAAGGCAGGCAGAAATGTTATAGTACTGCTGTAACATGCACAGATACCTCGGAGTTTCCAGGTCTTAGGGGTGAAGATAATCTAAATACATAAATTCACCCATAAATAAAGATGATAAAGGAAAATCAGACAACACTCAACTGTTTGTTATGGAATATAATGTAGTTATCGTGCATTGGTTGGGAGGTATTTGCTCAGGTCAGAGCCTACTTTGTCTTCCCAAAGCACATTTGCAAGAAAATATCTGTTCTCTATTTGAACCACTGAAGTCAGAATCCTCTGAAGGCGTTCAGAAGAAAACCAGAATATGACTGCTGCTGAAAAAGGTAACAGTTTGCAAGTTGGTGATACAATTATTTGATCAGGGTAATTTCAAGATTTGACATACCTTCCTGTCAGTTTCTACTACAAAACTCCCAAAATGCCTGCTCAGACAAACATTAATGCATAATGATCTCATTTTTATGTCTAAGTGGTTCATGTCAAACACTCTGAAAATTTTGATTTTCGAGATTATCAGCAGCCTAATGTAGCCTGTCACAGTTTCAGGCTTATCACTATCCTGAAGTACTACAAACAACATGCCAAGTAACAGGAATTTGTCCAGTTTGAAGAACTTATGTCCTTAAAGTTGTTACTGTAGGTACACATGTAAACACACATTTGAAAGCTCACTACAACATAAGCTTACAACTGTTGCCAAATATTGTCTCTTTCAAAGTGCAAATTTAAATCTTACATTCTATTAGTACAGCTGTCCAAACAGATTATTCTTTTTAGTTAAATTTTCTTGTCTCTTTGACCTCATTTTTTTATGCCACAGCAAGACTGCAGCAGGTGCATTTAATGCGACCACAGGAGTCAAAGCCAGCAAAGGCCTAAGCAGCTCATTTATTCTGCTCCTTGATACCACACTGTTCCTCCCTGGAGTGAAGTACAGCTCAGAAGGCCTTTCACCAGATCTACCAGAAGATTGTTCGACCCTCCATCAAGTCTCTGAAAGAAAAACCCTTCTTCCCCTTGGATTTTACATTTTAACACATACAGAGTGTTGCCTTTCCAGACAGATGCACTCCACACTCCAGCTAATTCTGTCTCTCTTCACAGTCCATCTGAGGCTTCATTGCCAAGTCCAGGCTTCCACTTTCCGGTCATTCCAGCCTCTGCAATGCTGGTCCTTCCTTCTTCCAGCAGCCTTATCTCTCCCGAATCCACATGAAGATGTGCTCAGAGAAGTCCTTCGTCTCACACATGCACAAAACGGCCACGTTCGCCTTTTATTCTTCCAGGAAGCGTAGGACGTGGCAACTCCCATTGAAAGACACTCACTCCTTCCACTCCCAGCCTCTGGCACCGGGAGGAGTTCGCCGGCCAAAGCGAGCGGCCGGGCCGCGCTGATTGGCTGTGACGGGCGAGTGGGGCGGAGCCGGGAGGGGCCACTGCGCTGATTGGCTGCAATGAGGCGAGCGGGGCGGAGCCGGGAGACGCCACGGCGCTGATTGGCTGCGGCGCGGCGGGCGGGTTGGGGTCGGCGGCCGTTGGCGCGCAGTTTGAAGATGGCGGCGGCGGCGGCGGCCGGCGATGGGTCCTGGGGTTGCTCGGCTCCGTTGGCTCCGCCGGAGGCCGTGGCCGCCGACTGGATGCTGGAGTTCGCCTGCTCCTGCCTGTGCCGGCACTTCGGGGACAGGATCGGGGCGGAGTTCTGGCGGTGGAGCGACGTGGCGCAGTGTGAGTGGCGGTAGGGGATCGGGGGGTTCCGCCGGCGCTCGGGGCTCTCGCAGCGCCGCCCCCGGGCCGCTGTGTCCTGCCTCCGGCAGCGCTGGGGACGGCGGTGTTCGGCTCTTTCGAGCGCTTCAGGAGATTCCCGCAGCACCGGGTAGCCTGCTGAGGCCGTTTGGTGGTGTGGGCAGCACTCGCACAGGCAGTGAAGCAGTGCAGGCAGAGTTTTTGTTTGCTTGTTTAATGCGCCGGTGTTCGAGCTCGATTGTTGGCGAGATAACCGCAGCTCCTGTGAGTTAATGTTTTGGTTGAATGAGACTGAACCTTTCCAAGGGGGGGAGTTTCAGACGTTGAGGTGAATAGTCATTGCTGTTAATCTGTAATGTAAACATTTAAAGGCTTCTTTTTCTTTGGAATAGCTCTAAAGGAATTAACTTTGTGTAATCAAGACTGTTCCATTGCACAAACCAAGTACAGGAGGTTTGCTTTGAAGTGACATCCCTGCTCTGAATTAAAGTGGTAATGTAGGTGCACCTTAAGAGAACAGAGAGAGCTGAAAATCTCAAGCTGCTTGCCAAGATGACCCTTTTGTTCTGTGGAATTGTTCACCTATGGTATTCTGCCTGCTTCCAAAATTTCAAAGTTCTGCCTTCATCTTCAGTGTATGGTGTCTATCATTAAGCTTGTCCAGACCCTTTCTGAAACTGGACTCTCTAGTCTGCTACGGAAGGTGCATAAGTGATCACAATGAGTGACGCTTTACTGCTGTTCTAAGTGATGTGCTCTTTTTACTTCATATTTTGGCTATAGGAATTAAAAGCTCCTATATAACCTGTCCTCACTGAAGCCAGTGGAAATGTTCTTCCTACTCCAAATGACAATATTCTGCTTGATGTTAGCTTAGGTAATCATTCAGGGCTGTTTACTTTGTAATTTCATGCTTATCTATTCTGTGTAGGAGATGATCATACTCTAATATTCAAGTAGGCTGAGTACTTCCAGGTGAAACAATGTGTTATGTGCTCTAGTTGTGTCATTGCAAAACTCAGGTGTTCTGTGCTCCAGGATCCTGGCTTTTTTGCTAGGATGACACTGAAGTGTGTACATAAACAATTCCTGGACTAGAGTGTTCAGTTTGCAACTTGGACAAGTAACATGACATGTTCTTCATAATTCTGTGATTTTGTTGGGCACAAATGGAAACACAGGAAGTTTCAGAGTACAAGGAAGAACTTTACTTTGAGGGTGACTGGAATAGGCTGCCTAGAGAGGTTGTGGAGTCTCCTTCTCTGGAGGTATTCAAAACCTGTATGGATGTGATCCTATGCAACCTGCTTCACCTGAACCTGCAGGGAGGTTGGACTACAAAATCACAGAATGGGTATGGTTAGAAGGGATCACAATGGGTATGGATGATATCCAGAGGCTCCTTCCAACCCCAACTATTCTGTGATTCACTTTTCATTTTGAATGTTACTGTATTTTGCTGTGAAGATGAATTACTATATCCAACCCAATAAAATAAGAAATTCACAGCAACCAGCATGATAGTTCCCATTCTAAAATATGTAAAAATTCTTGTGACCTTCCAACCTTGAAAGGAGGGTTTCCCTTGTAGATGTACATTTCTGACTGTGCTTTCCTTTTAGCTTTTACTGCTTTTTGTCTGTTAAATTGCTGTAGCAACATGTTAAGTGTTACCAGTCTGCCTGTGGCTCGTGGTTTGTGGGCATTCCATAGAAGTGTACTCTGGAGCAGACAGATGTCTTTTGTAGTAAGCTACTTGCCTAAACAAAATTTTATTTTGATGCCATGGTCTTTGAATCTGAATATAAGCCTGTGATACATTTTATTGCTTCTTTGGAGAAGGATATATTTTTCTGTTTAAGTTCTTAAATATTAAGTTTTTTTAACATGGGCAATTACTAATTAAATGTACTTCATTGGTTTCTTAATGAACAAAAAATTAGATTAGTAGATCATTTAAGTCTGATAACACAGTGTCTAGTATATGTCTAGCCACATTGTGGCAGTACGGAAGCAAGACTGACTTCTCACTTGTCTTATTTTCCAGCTCTTATCAACGGCTTTTTCAAAATACCAACACATCAGAAAAAAAGGGTTTATGTCTGTCAGCTTTTGATAAGAATTGCAAAAGGAAAAAACTTTGGTAAATACTCTGATTCTTTTTTTTTTTTTTTTTTGTCACTTGTCTAAAAATATTTGTGTGAACTTGCACAGAGGTGTGTTAGATATGCTTTCACAGAGCCTTTACTGTACATATTATAAATACGTATGTGGTTATATATTTACATGTAAATCGTACATCTCTGTAAACACATATACAGATAAGTATGTGTAAATAAATGCAATGAACTGCACATTTTAGACTATCTTTATTCCACATGTGACTGAGTTGTATGCAGGACCAGTGTTATTCTATGCTGACTGACTTAGCTGCTCTGAGTTAGAATTACTATATACTTCTTAAATTATCAGTCTATTTTTGTCAGGGTAGCATCAACAAAAGAAAAGACTGACTAGCTCTTAGTGAGAAGTACTTGCAAGTTTAAAGCTCGTGATGTACATTGCTTTCTGCACACATAACTAGAGGTTAAAGAAGGACTAACAGTAGGAATAAGAATATGGATGAAAAGGATGACTGCCCTTGTTTCCTACAGAAGGCTGTAAGACTTTCAGCTGGCAGCAGGTCCTTGGGGCTCTTTTTCACTACCATATCTCCTCTGGCTGTATTTACAACTAACTTGTTGATTCAGCCAAGATGATTTTGTTTCACAATGAAATTTTTGGAAGACTTAACTTTTTTTGCTGCAGATTTTTACTGTTTGATAAAATTCATTGTAAGACTTGAGAAGTAGACTTATTTTTATAAAATTAATTTCTTTATGTTTCTTGCCAGGTAATAACAGTTGTCTTGATTTATTTTAGCTTGAGAATCAAATTCTAATATTGAAAGTAGTTCGTTTTATACAAATCATGAAACTTTTCTGATAATGCTCTAAAACTATGTTATTGTATATAACACTTGGTAATACGACTTTGCTGTGCATTTTTTTTATCAGTATAGAGAATGACCTGTGTGGTCAGGAAGATTGCATATGCTCAGCAGGTATTACATCAAGTGTAGCTGCACAGTGTACATGGAAAGCTGCTCTATGGTAGCTTTCCTAATTTTTTTCTAATTATTAAACTATTTAATCTGTAATGAATCTTAAAACAGAGTAGGCTGTTTCAGATGCCAGCTCTTTTAAACACTTCGGTTTTACAGTATTAAAACAATCTTAATATGAAGTGTCATATTACTTGATTGAAACAATAATTAAAGAAACATAAAAGTGGGGTTTTTTAATTATGTGTATATATGCACATAACACTGAAGTTTTACTGACTGACTTATTGTAGCGAGTATAAAGTAATTTTTTTTTTTTTTAAGTATTGCTTAAATTGTTTACTCATTCCTTAATGAAAAAAAACACTTGTTCACCTGCCAGCTCCTCCTGCTTCTTTTACATTCGCTTGTGCAGGTGTGTAAGGACCAGAATGGGAAACTGTTTTGAGAGTGTTGAGAGGATGACTATTTGGCTAGGTCAGGTCTCTGTCAGAACTGAGCACTGATCCTTCTCACTGGGAGTTTACACAAACCTTGATGTTGGCAAAGCAGTACACTGACATGGGAAGTTGCTTCTGCTTATTCAGTGACACTCCTGTGAGTGTCAAGCAGTTTGAATTTCTCTCTTGGTTTAAGCACTTCAAATACAACAACTGAACAAGGACTTAAGAAATGGAAATATTGGGATAGATTCAGAAAAAAACCCCAACCTTAGGATGGTGGTTTACTACAAAAATTAACAGTATCAATACCAAATGTTTTGATATCTGATGCTAAACTTACTGTATTATTAATTCCAGCCCAAGTACCTAATGCTGAACTCAGCATTATTACAAGTGGCATTTTAAGTGAACAAGAATTAGCTGACATGTAATATCCCTTAAAAATCAACAGTAATGTCATTAGCAAGGGTAGGAAGAACTAGTCTGTCTGAAAAGAAGATAGTTACTTCAGGTTCTTAAACACACCTGGAGAGAAAGACTAAAAATTATTTCAGGAAGAAGGAATTCAACAGATTACTATTTTGCATTTAAGTACTGTAATATTTTTAGCTTTATCCTTTAAAGTACTTTTTTTTAAAAGTATTTTTTTTCCCTCTAAGAATTACAGTTTGAAAATGGTAAAAAAATTTCACCTTTGGAATCTGCTCTGTCTTTCTGGACTTTACTTGAAAAGGAAGAAACTAAACTGGAAAAGCTTCATGAAGATATTCGTCACTTGATTCAAATTCAGGTCTGTGTGACTTACTCAAAATGCTTCAGGATACTCCCTATTCATTGGGAATGAGTAGCTGGAAAGCTGCCCAGCAGAAAAGGAGCTGGGGTTGCTGGTCAATAGCCAGCTGACCACGAGCCAGCAGTTGCCCAGGTGGCCAAGATGGCCAATGGCATCCTGGCTTGGATCAGAAATAGTGTGGCCAGCAGGACCAGGGCAATCCTCATCTCCCTGTACTTGGGATACTTGGCACTGGTGAGGCTGCACCTCGAGTACTGTGTTCAGTTCTGGGCCCTCACTATAAGAAGGACACTGAGGTGCTGGAGCGTGTCCAGAGAAGGGCAACGAAGCTGTGAAGGAGTCTGGGGCACAAGTCTTATGAGAAGCAGCTGAGGGAGCTGGGGGTGTTCAGCCTGGAGAAAAGGAGGTTCAGGGCAGACCTTATCTCTCTCTACAACGTAAGGAGGCTGTAGCCAGGTGGGTGTGGGCCTTTTGTCCCAGGTAGTAAGCAACAGGATGAGAGATAATGGCATCAAGTTGCACCAGGGAAGGTTTAGATTGGATTTTATGAAAAACCTTTTCACACAAAGGGTTATAAAGCATTGAAACAGACTGTCCAGAGAAGTGGTAGAGTAACCATCCCTGGAAATGTTTAAAAAACCACGTGGATATGGTACTTGAGGATATACTCTAATGGTGAACATGGTAGTCCAAGACTGACTGTTGGACTTGATGGCCTCAACTCGAGTATTCTATGATTCTGTCTTAGTAAAACCGAGCCCCTTTTACAAAATGCCTGGGCTATTAGCAGACTGAACTGAATTTTCAAAGTTTTAATACAGAGTAAATAAATCTGTACAGGGGACCTTTTTCTATCCAAAGTGGTTCCTGTTCGTACCAGTTCAAATTTATATCAAAAGCTGCCAATCTGAAAAAAAAAAATATGTCACAATTGATATCAATTTCAAAACATTACTATCTTGAGTTATTCATATAATATGAACAACTTTTTTTTTTTACTTAAAAATATTTATTTGTATTAGAACACTTGATTTCAAAGAGGAACATATAAAAACACATTGTCAACTACTGGGAATGTGAAAGTCTTTCAGGAAGAGTCAGAAGCAATGCTTATTGGTAAATATGGGACACTGCCTCAGTGATGGTCCTTTTAAATGCCTGATGGAGAGGCTTTATACATGGTGTTTAATATTACTTCAGAACTAACTTTTATAACTAGGTAATTGTTGGTAACCCTTAAGAATTTTGGAAGTCTTAGAAAACTGTAGTATTGTGACTTTTCTTGGGTTTTTTTTTCTGATTCTCAGGTGAAAAGTGTTTCAGCATATCTTGTAATTATATTTGTTGCAGATTGTAGCAGGTCATATAGAGCATGGATATTTTAAGGAAGCTACCAATGTTCTTGAAAGGCTGTTTACAGACTCTGAATCAGATAAGGTAATAACTTTCTTAACTTGTATTAAACGCTTCTATTTTCAGTGGAGAAAGATGGGAGTGGGTTTCCAAAGCTAGCAAATGCTGCCTACATAGCTTTGACCTAATTGTTGTCTATGCGGTCACTTACACACCAGTGGCACGTTTAAATACAAAAGGAAATTTTTGGCTAGGGGATTGATGGAAATAACGGGTGATTTGGGGGAGTAAAATGCATCTAGCAGTTGTTTTTTTCCCATTTAATATAAGGAGTGAGGTGACACTGCAGATTCTGGGAATTTAATAGCACTGTTTTCTCAGAGCAAAGGCAGTATAAACATGCCAGTAGAGACATAACTCCCTAATAATAGTCTGATGACTTCTGTCGCAGTGGACTCTATTCGTCACCTCTGTTAATTAGTGTTCCATGTACAGAAGCATCACAGGGAAGGAATACTCATTAGCTTCTCTAGTGTGGACTGAATGTTGTTACGCCTCTACTTAGAAAAGAAAACATATGTGAGTCAGGACTCTTCCTGGTTTGAAGTTGACTGCATCATTCTGAAAGATGCAAGTTTGAGTGCGTATCTCTTTAAAATGATAACTGGTGCACACACCTGAATTTCCTGGGGTGGAGAAAAGAGCAAAAGAAAGACTGCAGGCAAAAAGAAAAAAAAGTTAAAAATACTGCCTGTATCTTCGTTTGGTATATTAGGACACGTGTTCTATGGAAGTAGTAGCATGTGCGTAACTTATTCTTCAGATATGCTCCTCATTCAGAGGATTCGGTCATTTGAAAAGTATAGACTGTGGTAATAGTATTCAAATTCATAATAAGAATGCAGCCTGTATACAGAAGTCAATTCTCTTGGCTGTACTGGTTTCTGTAAGATTCAGAGTGATTGGTAGACAAAATACAAATTTCTGATTATCAGTATTGATGTGTCCTTAAGGCTGATATACTAAGTAGTCCTTTTCCTGAACACTGTATACCCCTTTCAGTAGCAGTGTTTTTGAGGCAGCAAATGAGAAAAGAGAACTGAGTGGCTTTTACTGGGTGTTTTTTGCTCCATTGACAACCCTGCTTTCAATGTTATTCATAAAGAAAATGAGGATCTCTGAAAAGTTACACTTTACCATTTACGGAGCACATAAAGTAAATGCCTGTATTATGCGTATTTTACTTTAGAACCCTTTCAAACTATAGCGTGAAGTTATATAGACATATTCAGGAAGCTATATAATCATCATGTTTACTTTCTGTATGTCCTGTTTAGCATAGATACCAAGTTTACTGCAGAATTTATGTTTTTTAAAGCTGTGGTTTCCTTAGCCTTTAAGGGTGAAGCTGGCGACCGTAATTAAAAACAAGGATCCATATGTTCCTCTTCTCCAGAGCTTCAGTTACGGTCTTTTAATAAGTAAAATCAAGTCCTACATTGAACTTTTCAGGAAAGAAAATGAAACTAACTTCTTAATACAGGTATGTGACGAGCATTTTCAAAACTTTTCGAAAGAGTTACCTGATAAGATTAAATGAATTTATACTTTCAAGGGAGTTGTTTAGGCAATAGTCAGTTATTGTATTAGATGAAAAGGAAACTTTGTCTTCCTTTAGATTGTCTTATATTCAACCTTTTTGTTTTAATTAATAGGTCTTGGAGAACGTTATTAGGAATAAGTCTCCTCTAAAATATCTTCTATGAATGTTTTTTCCACTACTGTTTTGATTAGAAAAATAGGAAAAAAGCATAAGTAAAATAAGATCTGTCAGCAGTGTATGTTTAAGAGAAACAGTTCTGATCTGGAACTCCTTAAAAAATAAGGTAGCTATATATTTGCTACTTATTTTGTTTAGGTCTGTATGACTTATATGAAAAATAAAAGACCAAGACCTGTTAATTTCGCTAAAAGCTTTAGGAATGTCAGAGAAGTTAGGAGGTAGAAAACTATTATTGCTGTTTTCCTGTAAATAATAAAGGTCCTTACAAAGAATCTTGCTCAAAAGTGATTTAAAATGGACAAGAACAACATTCCTCTTGCAGTTCATCTTCAGGAGGATTGTAAAGAATTTCTCTTATGTTTACTTCCTATTAAAAAGTATTGAATTATTCAATTACAAAAGCACAGACATCTAAAGGTAATAAGAAGCAAATTTTAAATAAACAATCCTGAAGTTCCTCTGTGTTTTTCATTTTCTTACCTTAGAGACTAGACAACTTATTAAAGGCATTCAAAGTATAATACAAGGAATACCTTTTAATGGTTTCACTTGACTGTCAGTTTTCAAGTTTATTTTTCAAGGCTATTTCTTTGAGTCCAAGAGGAAATCAAGGTTTGGAGGTGTCAGAGAAGGCCCAGAACTCCACACTAGCATAGATAGGCCCTCTGTTGTTGCACCCGCACTACCCGCACGTCTGTCCTACTTTCTGCACCAACTCTGCAAATCTTATTTTGAACAGAGTTATTCTAGGACATGGAGGAGACATCTTTGTGATGAGTTCCCCCTTCTGTATAGTACATAATGGTTCCCCATCAGTGTTCTCTACAGAAGAGCACTCCAGCTTCAATTTTAATATCTCTTCCCTTTCTTCTAATGCCAAATGTAGAAGTATAACCATAGAATAGTTTGGATTGGAAGAAACCTTTAAGGATAATCTAGTCCAACCCCCTTGCAATAAGCACGGACATCTTCAATTAGATTAGATTGCTCAGAGCATATCCAACCTGGCCTCAGAAGTTTTCAGGCACAGGGCATCTTCCTCATCTCTGGGCAACCTGTTCCATGTTACGCCACTCTCATAATAAAAAAAACCCTGAACTTTCCTTACATCTAATCTAAATCTTCCCTCTTTTAGTTTAAAACCATTAACCCTTGTCCTGTTAAAACAGGCACTGTTAAAAAGTTTGTCCCATCTTTCTTTTAAGCACCCCTGAAAGTACTGGAAGGTGCTATAAGGTCTCCCCAGAGCCTTCTCTTCTCCAGGCTGAACAACTCCCGCTCTCTCAGCCTTTCCTCATAGGAGGAGATGCTCCAGCCCTGTGATCAACTTTGAATCATTTTGGTATTTCAATGCTACAAAGCAGATCACCTTTTGGGGTGTGTAGTGTTAGATGGAAGATGATTAGCTCTGCTTGCACAACTGGCAAGAATGAACTTGTGGACTAAGTTGGACTACGTGATTTTTTTTTTTTTTTTTTTTTTTTTTGAGAGTGTTTTTATTACATCAAGTAAGTGGGAAAAATACAGGGAAAAGTACAAACCTTGAGATTGTCTGGACATTCTATAAAGAGCAATGAACTACTACTTCCTTCTCTTGGCAATAGAGGAGAAGTAGTCTTAGTTTGTCACTAAAAGCTTGAGCATGATATTAGAAAAAAATTTTTTGCCAGTGTGAGAAAGGTTATATTATAAGCCTAAGGTCTGATTAGGAATGTCTTTTGAAAGTGTTATAGGCATTCTTGATCCTCACATGTGCTACAGAACTGGATAAACTTGTAAGACCTGTTAGTCTTCCATTTCTAACCTAGTTATAAAAAACAGACTTTGATGTAATTGGATAATATTTGCAGTCTTAGTTAATCTCCACGATATACTTCACACCTTCATAAGTTCACTCATTATGCAAGTATTAATTGTATTTCTTTGTGTCCATATAAGTGTCACTTGCAGCTATGACTAAAATTTCTCAAGTTATTGGTTGATAAAGATCTTTATGGGTTTCAATTTAGCAAGCTAGAGTTGTTTTGAAACTGCTTATTTTCATGGTAATACCTCCAAAGTGTCTGTGAAATAAGCACTGTGAGTCCTAATATGAAGTACACATATTAATCCTAGTGTGAACTACTATCTAGGTATTGGCTGGCTTTAATTTTAAGGTATCAATTCCATTTCTCACAGGAAGCCACAAAATATGCAGAGTCTAAAGGATTGGAAGCAACAGCATTGCAAAACCAATCTGTGAATGTCAGTGAAAATGACACAAGTAATTTGGACACAAAGCAAAGGTTTGTATTAAGGATTATATTACTGAGGGGTGTACTTGGACAGTAACTTGAAACTTGAAGAATTAAGAGTAGGGAGAAGGAAGAACGTTAAATTCCAAACTGCTGTCCAATAGAAAATTAGCTACAAGCATATTCCCTATTTTCTTAAAATTTGGGGTCTTCTATAGTTGTTATTTTCTGCATTTAGATCAAATAGCTTTGGTTAAGTTTAATTATTTGTAAATATACAAAATTTTCAGTTTAAACAGCTGTCAGTCTTGTATAACAATAAAAACATGAAAAGACTTTGCTTTTTTTAATGCTTGATTGCGCACTTTTTAGTCCAGCCCTCCTAATTTTAGGCTATAAGTCACCTCAAGAAAGAGAATAAGAAAATGGAATCAGTCTGTTACATTTTCCTTACACAAGATTCTGCTGTTGATGCTAATGTGAAGGGACGTAGTAATGTTACATCATGATTCTGGAAGTGTGAACCCTCAATACAATTACATGCTTATTTTAGAATATACTGATATTCTAGGTTTATTGCCTTGTTTTTCATGGAGAATATAACTGTAGTCTTTAGTTGGGATAGAGCTTCTATTTCTGCAGTGTTATACTTGGAATATTTGGCATCATTTCAGTTAAGGAAATTGACTCATGCAGACAGTATAGAGCAAGACATTTCGTAAGGTTTGGTTGGTTGGGTTGTTTGTTTGTTTTTGGTTTTTTTTAGAAAGACAGCTCATGAAACAATTACATCTGAGAGATACGATGAAAGACCTGTTAAAAAACCCTATGGAAGTAATTTGTGACGAAAAAATAGATGTGCAAAATGCCATCAACTTGAATGTGTGAGGCAAGATTAAGAGGGTTAATGGATTGATGGAGTTAAGTGTTTGTATGCCACTGTTTCTGTAGAGAGATCTTGGTATTTTTTTTTAATTTAAATATTGTTGAATAATATAAATGGCAAGTTGCTGCTTAGGAAATTTTTTTTTTTCTTTTTTTCAAGATCGGTGAAAGAGCAACAGTATATCACAAATCAGTCCCCTGGAAGGTAAAATTTGTTTTTGTTGCTTTTGGTCATAGACTTTTCATGAAACTCTGTGTATTTTTACTCCATTCTATGTTGCTTGCAGGCCTTATTCAGGGCAGAAACACACAGGGAGCAGAGTTCTTCAGAGTGAGTATTAGTTTATTTTTACACTTTCGAAACAGTCATGTCAAATACTTATTTCTAAATGTGATTGGATTAATAAAAAAATGGTTATGGGGGAAAAAACCCTCGTAATTTTTGTGTTTAGTTTCTATACAACTGCAGGTTTGGTGGTTGCTGTATTTAGGAAGCTGTGAAGTGGCTTCTCCGGCAACTCATTTTGTGAAATCATTCACTATTTTCTGGTTTGCTTGGGGTTTTTTTGTTTTACTGTGATTTACAGTATTCTGTGAAAAAGAAATTCTTTCTGAATTCTGTGCTAGATAACTTTGGTGGGAAGGAACTAAAGAGCTTGGCTGATTGTGCATTTTACACTACAACTTGTTTTTCCAAAGTTAGGATGTTTGTGCATTTTCCTGGTAACCCTAACTTAACAACATGGATAATGTAATATTTATTTATAAGTAGGTTCTGAAGACGATTAGCAACCTCTTACCACAGAGAGATGATGTTATAGTTTCTGCATGTGGCCACGTTGTACATGGAAGGACAAACTCTTAAGATGCCTTGAATGCTTGCCACAGTTAAAACCTGATACATGTACTCAGAAGTAATGGAATCTATACACAAAGAATCATAGCTCTGATTGCTTGTTACTTCCCATTCTCTCTGTGTAAAAAGAGAGCAGTATGTATAGTAAAACTGCTTTTACCAAAATGAAATGTTCCATTATTATGTACCAATTTTTACTTAATTTAACTAATTAATTTACTTAATTAAAATATAATTCTTCTGTGAACTCTATTGTATAGAAAATGTGGTGATTTTTTTTTTTTTAAGAGGCTATTTTTTGAGTCCTTGGACTATGGTCAATTAATGATTAATGTGTATTCATATAAAAAAGTGTATTTATATGTAATCAGACACTGAAATTTTCACAATCTGTCATAACATATCAAAATAGGGTACATTCTTGTCTCATGTACATGGTAGAACGCAAAACTGCTGCCTTAATGGTGACTCCTCATTGCACTGGATTTATATTAACTGTCTCCTAGGTCTGAACAACTTGCATAATGTGGAAAACCATGGAGTTTCAGCTGGTGGCCGAAGAAGACAGGTTTGTACCATTCTCTGTTCTAAACTGACATAAAATTAATCTGCACTGCACTGAATTTTTTCCCCAGCTTTATTTGACCTTCTCCAAAATTACTAGACTTAAGATTCTGTAGATTACTCAAGCTGTGTGTGTGCTACAGCTCCTGAAACTGTTAAATCAGGCTTTTTTTTAAAGACAGGCAATAAAACTTATTCTGTGCACTTTCAAATATTATTGTTGCTAATGCTTCTGAGCCTTTAATTTGTTGAAATACACTGTTTCTAAAGCTTAGTTGGATTCTTTTTTTTTAAATGTGAAAAAATAAAACATTTTGTTGGGATTACAGAATTCAGGATATCATTTGCCCATGAGAATTTTAGGCAAACATCAAAGACTACTTGTTTTCCAACTTAGAAGGCTAAATATTTAGCAATTTCATAATTCAATAATTTGCTTATGTTAGGTGAAAACATCTATTTACTTGGGAAAATATTTTAGTTTTTATAAACCAAATAATAGGGTCTTCCTACAATGCTACATTTCAAATCGTCCTTTGCATTCTCTTCATGGGTGAGCCTACTTCATTTAATTACTTAAAATAATGCTGTTATGTTCCCTAATGACAGAATTCCCTGTTGGTGGGAAGTACAGAAGTGTATGCCTTAATTTGATTTGGTGTTGGGGTAAACTGTTCCAAGCTAATTTTTGCACATAGCCAATTTTCATTCATAATTGTTCACCATCTTACCATGATAACTGGGGAAATTAATATTAAGTAAATGCATTGCCTTTGAATTCATTTTCATAATATCTCTTAGGAAGCAATTTAGAGTTTTTCTGTTTAGAGAACAGTACACGTTACCGTCATACATCCATTTTGGTGTGAGCTGTTCCATTTTTCTGGTGTTCATTTTGACATTTCGTTTTTTGTATAACAGGGAGGGCCAAACCTGCTCATGTTTTTTCTTTTCCATATTGTCATTAAGGAAAGTTGTACTTATTTCTAGTTCTTTAAACATTGTTACTGCAGTTGAAGTACTGGTTAAATCTTCAGTTACATGATGTCCTCAGATTGGTTGAGGTCTTAAATGAGAGCTCCTCTATCCTTGGAGGTTGAGTCCCTATAGACAGTTTTTCACTTTCCCACAAATCTCAGGAATAGTTAAATCACTGAGAGCCTCTTTAAAAGCTACAGATACAACCAGTGCCCTAAAAAGAAAAAAAATAGAAGCACTTACTGGATTTGTTCGTTGCCTTTAAAAATATAATTAGTTTACTCCAAAGTATACTTGGATAGGTACCTTGCTAGCTAATCGCTAGTAAGCATGAACGCTTCCATAAAGCTTGTTTTCAACATCACGATTTAAACTATTTGGACCACAATTGACAGCTAATTAAGAACTCTCTATTCACATATTTTCATGCTGAGGTAGTCTGTTACGAGGTCACCTCCAATCAGTGTATCTCGGTCTATGGCTTATACACACATTTTGTTAGAAAAAAATAGATGTTGTTTGCTTAGTTATGTTGTTGTATTTCAACCTTAATTGAAATGTAAAGACAAAATTTTTAGAAAAATGCATCTGATAGTAGCAAGGAACTCTTTGAAAATTTTGTAAAAACTTGAATGAAATTTAAGATTAAGAACTGTGTTTCTATAAACACTTAGAGAAGTTGTAGGCATTTGCTGCCTCTGTGACATTTATGCCATACTCACTGCTAATGAGACTGCTAAGAAATATTGTATAGAAAGCAATGATAATTGGCCTTTTACACAATAAATCTGCTCCTCTGCCTAATCATCTGGGTTATAAAATTGTCTGCATGCATGAAAGAATGCAATGAATGTCAGAGCTGTTGACTTCTAGAACTTCCTCTTCCATGTAGTCCCTCTTTCAATGTTGGCATTGTTTGCTCTTGTTTTGTAAATGGCATTTCATTGCAATGGTTCAGTGCCCATTTTCAGCCTTTCATTGCTGTGTTTTCAGTTAGCTGCAAATAACACTCTGCAGTGCCATTGAAAGCAAGCACACTTTATTTTCTCCTTCCTAAATTAGGGGATGCAAGTGTCACGGAATTTAGGGAACTGTTTGTACTCAATTTTATATCCTGTACTTGTATGGAAGTCCTTTGAGTTGTTTAAAATCTGACTGACAGTTTCTTTAAATTAAAAGATGTGTCTGAAAATCTGGATATTCAGAATTTAGTCAGACTTGAATGGGAAAAAAATCCATATATTTAAACCTGAAGGAAAAAAGTCAGAGCAGAGTCCCATAATGCATAAAGGAAGACAAAGTTACTAGAGGAGGACTGATTCTAAGGAGTAACAAGATTTTTAGATATGACAGGGTATGTCTCCACATTCTGCATGGCAAACTCAAGTTTGCTCTGCCTGCATTCTAAGCTGGCCAGATGTCACGTTGCTCTGGACTAGGTGCCGTGATGATGTGAGCTCAACTGTAGTGCTGCATTATGTCTAGGCTTTCAACCAGCCTTGGTAGCTTGTAACAGTGCAAAGCTGGAATCTCTAAAAGTGCTGTCCCAGAGGTGACAGGCAGTTTGTTGGTGAGCAGGGCGGGAGGCAAGTTACTGCTCTGTACAGCTCCTCAGTGAAGAGAAAAGATGGCAGTCCCTGATTTACCTGTAAGGCAGGCTCCTCATTTATATGTTAAACTGAAGAAAGTTATTTTATTAAAAAAAAGCTCTATATAAGCAATTTAAAATCAAAACCAGCTAAACCAGCCCTTTCAAGACCAAATGTAACTAATCATTGCAAGTAACAATGGTGGTGATTGTCTCTGATTGAAGTATTTGAATTATCTGGTGCTCTAGGTCAAGATTAACTCTGTTACTTGAATAAAGATTTTATTTAGGAAAGTTTTCTGGCATGCTCTGAAATGAGATGAACTACATGATTCCAATGGAATCTCTGGCCTTTTAATAAAGTAAAAAAAAAAACCAAAAGCCATTCACTGCTAATGTTGCAAAATATCTGTGGAACAGGAAGTATTGGGAAAAGGAAATATTCTTGATAAAGGGTAGACTATTTTAGAGAAGTTTTAGGTTCCTGTTTAGAAATACAGCTGAACTGCTATCACTTGTAATTCTTTCACTGCTTAGTGAGGTTTGTTAGTGATCACAGCTTACTGAAGAGGCACTGATAGTTGCATTAAGCTGGACTAAGTCCAATTTTGAGATGTGAGGTTTAGTCTTCACATACCTCAGCTTCTACTTTGTGTTAATAGCCACATTTTTCCTTGCTGTAGAATAACCAGGATACAGCTCTGATCAGGCTGAGTGTTATCTAAGCTTCTTCTCCCTCATACTCACACCCCTGCCTTTCATGTTTGAGTGCTTCTGACACTTCTAGCAACTTAAATTGAAGGGAAGTGGGGAACCATGCGGAATGACACTCAGTTGTCACCTGGCCCATTCCCAATGTCTGAATTGATTTTGCTTTTAAGAGCAGAATCTTTTAAGGATCCCAGAAGGGTTCCAGGCCTCTCATTCGGAGAGGAGGTGAATCCCATATCCATGGATGTGGGATTTAACACAAAAACCTCTTGTGCCATTGGCAATCATACCAGCTGATCCTGGGTTTTCCTGTCCATCCTCCCTTGTGCACCAGCAGGATGGTATGCATTTGCCTAATGACAGCAGCTATGAGATTTACATTTCCACTGGGTACGTTATGTGCAGAATTAAGTGATGTTTGTTCCCCTGTAATTCACGTATTTCCTCACACTTATCAGATCTACTAGTTGGCTTTATCAAGTTTAAATTTCTGTAAGTTGAGGCTGTTCCTTTGCACCCACATTTCCCTTTCTGCCCAGTTCTTTACAATTTTGAAAGTTTCAGTTGTCAAGGTGAGCCATAACATGATTTTCTAGTGTTCCCTTTTGCTTTACAGACAACACCATTTATCCATTTGATAGTTGGAAGTGCTCTGTTACTTATAGAAGGTTTTATACATACTCTGGTAAATCAACCTTTCTTTTAATCCACAAAGCTACAGATCTTAGGTCTTCAGATTCAGGCATTTACAATTCTTATGGCTCTTCTAATGTTCTACAAACATTTATTCCAATCAAGTTATTCCAATTAATCCAAGACTTTATTAGCACAGGCCCCCATCAGGCTCTACAGGCTCAGTTACAAATTTATCATTGTAGGTGCATTAGCAAAGGATTAGTCAGTCCCCTGACACATAAGGATTATATACATTTAATCTCAGGTATGCTCACAACTCAGCCAGGTTCTGCTGGCTACAAAGCTGTTAAGGCATGCTGGAAGAGGCCACCTCCTCCAGCAGGCCCAGCCCAGGACCCTCCTGTCTGGCTGCTGGAGCCCGGTGTGGAGCTCAGGGACCTGGGATCACTGCTCAGGCTGGGGGATGTGGCTCCTGCTTTCCCATCTGCAGGTTTGCCTAGAAACAAAGATGAACACAAATCCCAGACACACACACAGAAGACTGCCACAGAAAAGGTGCTGTCCTCAACACCCATGTGTGGTACCCGTGTAAGACATAAACACAGCTGAGTCCTCTTCCCTTGTCTGTCTGGTAGAGGTGTTAGTTCACTGGTGAAGGCACACACCCCCTTCTCTAGGTTCACAGGCATGTCAATGTTTGCACATGCCCAAGTATGGGAACAACCTTTCTGCCTGCCTGGTATCCTTGCCCACATCACAGCCGTCCCATTCCTTTCATAGGTCCTTAACCTCCTGACTGGTGCAGCTGGATGGACCAAATATGAGCACTCTTCTGGCTGTATTGCACTGTACTCTTGCAAATTGTATCCCTTTCAGGTAAAGGGAGAAATTGTCACTCATTCAAGGAGACAAAGAAAAGAGGGGACCTGTGCCTTCTGGGTGGCAGCTCGCAGTCACTGCTTCTGGGATGACCCTCCAACCCAGCAATAACCAGTAACTCAAAGGAAAACTGCAAGACACACAAGGGCTCCTCTTGGTCATAACATCTGTTGACACTCAGCTGAAGCCCTAGCAGAGATTTCAAAAGGTTCTGTACCTTCCAAGTAGTGGTAGGGATCAGCCCACGGTCTGCCTAAGTGAAGCAAGACATGTGAATCCCATTCACAGCAGCAGGTGCTGTTGTGGAAATAACCTGAATTGCAGTTTAGATCAGTTGGTGGCTGTGGGAACAGCAGTGACAGCCTTTGCTGATGAGAGTTCTGCCCAGCTGGGACAGCTACAGAGTTCTATAACTTTTACAAACAGCTTTTCACAAAAATTATGTCAGATAAGCAGATTATGGTACATAACAACAGCAAATTCAATTTCTCAGATGAGGAGGCTCGAGTTGGTACATTCTTTTACAAATAGTTCACTCCTTTGTCAATTTAAATCATTCTGACCAGCAAGACCATTAGCTGTAAATGCTTCTTAACTCCTTTGGCCCGCAAAGGCCTATTCAGAATTTTAATTTCACACACTGAACATAAGTAATTGCAGTGCTTTTGATCACTTGCCTGTATAAATTTCGTAGTAGTTTTATGAGCAAAAACACTGACTTTTTTGCGATTTCAGAGCAACTCCAAAATCAGTAAAGCACAGGTGATGGTTAAATGCAGAAATAAGGGAGTCTTTTGTTTGGATTTTCAGCAGTCATTTGCTCATGACATACACATAAACACATGCAGATTTTGTAAAAGTCTGGTAACTAATGGTTTTTAGATATGGAATCTGTTGGAGATCACAGAAATGCCAGCATGAGACCAGTGAAAATTGACCATTTGTCTCCTTTCATAACTTACTGTGGTCCATGAGACCATCAGGAGAAGCAGGGCCCCTCTTGTGCAAGAAGCAGAACTGAACACAAATACATTAAATGGAACAGCTGCACAATACAATTCTCTGTGCATCTCAATATCATAAACGTTTTTAAGTTTTTTAAGTTTAAGTTAAGTCTTTGCATTTCAGGTTTTGGGGGAATAAATTTAGAAAGAACATGTGGTCATATTGCAGTTTCAAGTAGAAATTGATACTTACTTTTTAGAAACAGTTTTTCTACGCAGTTTTTTCAACTGAGGATTCTGTCCTATGTTTGCATAGATAATGTGCAATTCAGTTTGCCTGAGGAGGTGTGCTGATCATACATCTGTATGATTAGTTGTGTATTAAGCAAGCAAGGATTTGAAGATATTTGTGGAGGATCAGATTCTAGCCAAATAAGTTGTTTTAAAATAATTTCATATTAAAGTTGTTAATTGCTATTTCAGAGTGAAAAAGCTGACTGCATCTAATACACCTTATACATAGACATATCAAAAAATGCAGTAAAAAAAAGACACAATAGGATATATAGAATTTGTAAAGTTTTGTTATATATATGTCTATTTTTATGAAGTTATGCTAAAGGAAAACTGATACTTGGTTCTCCCTCACACTTTTCTGTAAAGGTAAGATTTTTTAAATCAGGTATTTTGTTTTTAAAAATTCCGTTTTCTTTCACCCTACGTGTAGTCTTAAAATTGTTTGTATTGAGGTACTTGTACCAAGAAGCAACTAAGAAAGAACTGGAAGGGATTGCTTACAGATGTATAACTGCAAGTAATTTTCTCTTACTTTTATGAGAGAAAAGTCATCCCCTGAAGATTAAAAAGCTTGTAAGTCATGGCAGCCAGACTTAAGTACTGGGTTCAACAAATGGCCAAAAGCAAATGCATAACTGTTAGCTGAGAATATGGATGATGTCACTTTCAAATGCAATATATATAATTTTGCTTCTATGAGCATTTTAAATATAGACTTTTTTTTTTACTAAGCACATGGAAATTCTTTCGTTGTTGGTAAAAGGTGTCTTGATTCTCAGTCCCTAGCCTAATGTGTCACAGAATGCTTTCTCTTTTGCAGTGCATACTAGGATCAATCAAGGTTTGTCTTGGCTCAATTAGCTAATAAAGTACAATTTTGGAAAGCATGTTTTGAAGAAAGCAAAACTTTGCCCAATATCTTTTTTCTTTTCCTCCTGCAACTTGTGATCATAGAAGCATGCTGTTCTCATTCCAGGTGATATCTGCTACTGTGTTGTAAAACTTGACTTGATAACCTTTTTGTTGTATTTAGTTTCAAGATTTAGATTCAAGTTCAAAAAAAAAAACCTCTCTGACATCTGTACTCTGTAATAACTAGAGAGCAGTATGAAAACTTGCTTTTATGTTTGCAGTAAGGTTACATTTTACATTAATACCTTTCTCTGTTCATATATCCCATATTTTTCTCTGTTCTTCCTCTAGCGATGGACTTACAACGAAGACTTGGAACTGAAATCAGGAGTAAGGACATTTGGAGTGGGTAACTGGGCTAAAATTCTGGCCCATGGTGACTTCAACAACCGAACAAGTGTCATGTTAAAAGACCGGTGGAGAACATTGTGCAGGACTGACCTAGCCTAGCTTTCCAGAATAACAACTTATTTTAGTCTCACTGTCCAGCAGCGTTGCTGTCCAAAAACGTGTAACGTAAAGAACAGTAATAGGTATAAAACATTAATGTAAGCAAACTTGTTCAGGTGATGACCTTAATGTGAAGCCGAATACAGAGTGTGAACTTTGAGGCAACTGAACCTTGGCTAACATTAAAAAAGTTCCTTATTACTAGTTAAAAATCCTCATGTGTATTAGTGACATGACGTTCTGAGAAGTCTACTTCCTTAATACTGACTGTGGAGTCACCTATGAAGATGAGTGAACCTGAGAACTGCAGTGTACAGGAAGAATACTTATGCACTTGCAGTATAAACTATTGTCTAGATGATGCTGGGAAGGAATTGAGGATCTAAACTGAAATCTGGTTTTAACGCTCAAACTTTCATTTTTATTTACTCTTGCTATTTAATGATGACAGTAGTTATCCTCAGACTTGAGAATGTTTGGCTGGCTCACTACTGAGTAGGAGCAGTGATTGTAGACAGGGCTGTGGCCAGTAGAGAATGTGAACTTGAGGAAAAGCAACTACTATGATTAGAAACATTAGCTCTTATTTACCAAAAAGAAGCATGGAAAGATGCTTCTAGTGTTCTAATAGAAAATCAATCTTAGCGTTTTGTATTAAGGCAGGAAGTTTCCCGAAAGGCTTCTACTAAAGTTCTGAGTCCTTTAAAATTTGTTTAGGCTCCAGAAAATGCAGCATAAAAATGTAGATTTCTTGGCATTGTTGTTAATATTCTCGATCTTTTTGTTGTTGCTGTCTTAAAGGTCTTTTAAACTTTTATGTAAAAATAAAGCTATGCACCAGCGGACATGAACAGTGTTCCAGTTGTCGAATCTTCTTCCAGGTTCCTTGGCACTGAGAGTTGCCAATTGCTTCCCAGTGTAAGATTTTACCTCTGAAATGGGACAATAAATGAGGAATTAGAAGACTGAAAATTGTGTATTCATGTTAATGGGTTGTGTTGTATAACATGTCAGAAGAATAGATTTACCTTATTGTGTCGGACTCATCTAGCTCCTGAAATGGTTTATGAAGCAGGCACTATATTCTAAAGAATAGTATACAGGATGGTGGATTGAGTATGTGGTTGTCCAGGTATTGAGTTGTATGCATATGAATGAAATATGGATCAGGTAAAAATGTGTTATGAATAATAAATGTCTACTTTCACATTTAGTTTTCTATAAACCAGGTATATAGGTTTCAGGGGCATACTGATCCACCACTGTTAAACCTGGAATCAGATTTGTGTTATGGCAGGAAATACCATTTTTATGTAAAAGTGCCTGTAACTGTAAAATGTCTTCTTGCACTACAGAAGTTACATTATTCCTTTACAATTGTGAATAAAGCTTGCAAAGCATTGAACTCTTATATTGAAATTACTTCCCAATTCTGTGAGAACTGAAAGGGTAAACCTTCTGAGCTCTACATTTGGTATGAGCTGTTTCATTTTTTAGGTATAATAAATGCGACTTTTAATGAGACCTTGAGAAGTTTTAACTTCTGTGCTGGGTTTTGCTCCAGAAGAGAGAACAGAAGGAAATGCTTTCTTTACCCGTCCGCATTATGGCCATCCCCAGCACAGCGATGCGTGTCGGTGTTCATAGCTGGAGGCTGGCAGGCGACGCACACGGTGTGTCCTTCACGCAGGTACTGCATCCAGCGAGCATATGGACGATTCTCTAAAGCACAGTGGTGTGAAAGCGACTCTGTTCTAAACTCCACACAGTACCTGCTCAGCAGAAAAAGTACTAAATTAGTTATGACAGATAAAGCACAAGCTTTATCTTTACTTTGAATGTACTTACTCACCAAATGGGTGGTATTTGTGAAGTGCAAGTTAAGCATCATCATTGCTACCCAGTCTCTTTCTGACCTAACCTAATCAGTGGATTCTTAATTTCTGGAAACTCTTTCTCATTCTATGCTCCAATCCAGTGCTTTATGTATAATTCCACTTTCTGGTTGTGTTCTGTATTCTTAAATTATGTTGAAAAGCAGATCTTGGTAACCCATATTTTTGCTTCTATTCTGCTGAAGGAGAAAATGGAAAATAGACTAAGAATACCGATGGGATTTATTGTTTGGGGGGAAAACAGCACAAGACAAAGTGTTATGAGCCTACAGACCCAGTAATAGCCTAATTTAAACTTCATAGCCATCTCAACTGGTAACCAAACAAAATTTTTTACTGCTTGTGTCAATTAGTTAAAAAAAAAAAGGTCTCTTGAGACCAGTCACATTCAACCCACTTTGTGAGTTCAAAAGCCTAAGTCTAATTTCTTAGACTCACACTCAGGATACATTCAGCTTTGGTTTAGCATTATGTACTGTTGGCTTTCAAAAGCAGCTGTCATCACACTTGCCATGATCCCAGCAACTAATTCAGGACAATTAGCAAGTAATAAAGCACAACGTCTAGAACATGCAAATAAACTGCATGAAAGAAAACCAGTACAAGCTATAGCTTATTGTTTAATTGTTTCAAATTTCATTACACTTTTCCCTGTAGCCAGCTACTTTCTACCGAGCAAGATGACCCACATGCATATGATAAATAGATTACCCAGCTGCTTCTTTGTCTGAAGGCCAGAGAGAAGATACTGCTCGTTGTTTTCTTTCTTTACCGTATTCAGAGGTAGTTATGAAAGCAGGGACTGAGGAAGAAAACAGTTACGGTAAGGCAGCAAGACACGACTGAGCCATATTTCAATTACTGTAACAGAGGATGAATGAATCAGGAGCTTGCAGATGGTGATGTGATGTTGGCTGAATTTACTGAAAAAGTGGTAAAATGTTGGCAACATCAGATGTCAACCCCATTCTCTACAGATAAGCTCTCCTTATTCAGAAGAAAAATATCTAGAAATGCATGCCATCTAGCCTGAGGAAGTAGGATGTGCTGGAAGCTTGCAAGGAGTACTCTTTCCCGTTTCATGATGAATCATAGAATCATAGAATAGATTGGGTTGGAAAAGACCTCCAAGATCATCAAGTCCAACCCCTGATCCAACTCTAATTACTATATCATGGCACTAAGGGCCATGTCCAATCTCTTTTTAAAAACTTCCAGGGATGGTGAATCCACCACCTCTCTGGGCAGGCCGTTCCAATGCCTGATCACCCTCTCTGTAAAGAATTTCTTCCTAACATCTAACCTAAACTTCCCCTGGCAGAGCTTGAGCCCATGTCCCCTTGTCCTGTTGTTGGTTGCCTGGGAGAAGAGACCAACCCCCACCTGGCTATAACTTCCCTTCAGGTAGTTGAAGAGAGTGATGAGGTCACCTCTAAGCCTTCTCTTCTCTAGACTAAACAATCCCAGCACCCTCAGCCTCTCCTCATAGGACTTGTGCTCAAGTCCCTTCACCAGCCTGGTGAATTTGTGTTCTACCTTTGCACAGATATAATTTGATACTTACTGAGGGGCTTATGTCCAGAAACTGAAGGGAATGCATGCAGCTTAATTTAGTTGTTTACTTAACAGAAATTAGAAATGCCAGAGTGGGGAAAAAATAATAAAATTAAGAGAAATACGACAGTAAAAAGCAACATTTTCAATTGTATTTTTAACTACCTATCTTCAGATAGATGTTTGTTTGGTTTTTTCCTATTCATTAACAACAGTAAAATTTATGATGGCCTTGATGGACACAATGTACAGATAAATCAAAGAGAGAATACCATGTTCATGGCCGCATTCCTCTCCCTGGTAAGTCAGGTATTCCAGGCAGCCAGCCTTCTCCTCCAGAGCAGGACAAGGTTCCCCACCATTTTTAGGTTCCTGTTGTACATAGCGCCTACGTACTCTCAGACCGGGATGACACTGTTCTGCACAGCCGCTCCAATGACTCCACTCCCCCACAACACACGGAAGAGCTGCAAAGGAATTTTGAAACATTACTAGCAGTCAAGGTTTCTGCTTTATCCTAATTGCTCTCAAAACTTGAGGTATTAAGACTGTGTTGGGATTTTTTTGTTCTGTTGGGGGGGGGGGTGTTTTTTTTTTTTTTCCTTTTCTACCTTTATTTATACAGCTTTAAATGCTCTTCCAGGAGTTTGCATCCTCAGATTTAACATTCAAACCTGCCTGAAGTGCTTGGCTCCATATTCAATCCCTTGTGCATAAGCCAACAGCCCCTCACCAAAAGCTTTCACTACAGCTATGAGGTTCTTCTGCACCCTCTTCTGAAGCGTACAGCATTAGCCCCAAAGGAGACCAGTTTATGGGTTATCTAGACCAGAGTGGTCTGACCTTCCCTGGTAGTTCCTACACCACTAGATTTTGTTTAAAGGCTGGAACATTAAGAAGCAGAACTCAGGAAGCCTTTTAGCACTCTTGATTCCCCTCAGATTGATTTCTAACCCCTTTCTCCTCAACAATTAAGTAAGAAGCAGCGCCACAGCTTTGTTGCCCTGTTATACACAGGGTGTCGTACTCCATGGTCCTTGCTGCAAAGACAATTTTTGTGGAAAATTTTGCTTTTTTTTTTTTAGTCTCAGAACAATGCAGGCCCTGCTCATTCCCAACTATACAGCAGCCCACTGAACATTTGAATTTTAGTTCTTGTGGATAACAAACTTCCTCTGAACTTAACCAAAACATTATGGGGAAAGTGCTATTATTGTGAAAGTAAACTTTGAATCATAAGGAAATGCATTTCCCTCTAGCAGAACATCAACAGCACAGGTACCATATACTTATACCTTTAGTCTCTCCTAACCCAGTCTAATAGAGATACAAAGAAATTCTCTCTTTGCACATAACCTTTAACCCAGTTGATGGCCTTTGACACCTTTTTGATTAAATAACATCCAGGTTCTTTAGAAACAGACTAAATGACTGAGACTGAACACTTCTTTCACGTTTGTCACTTCTTTCTGTGAGAGCTGTACAGGGTAGACTTAGCATCTCTCATTTTCAGCACTGTCTTTAAACTCAAAAATTATCGGATCGGTTATCCAGTAGCCATTTCCTTCCTTATTTTATTCTCTGCAATGCATCTAATAATGATGGCATTCTCTGTGTAGTTCTCATTTATATTAAGTATGATATACACCTTTCTGAGCTGGAATGCTCCCTTCTCTTGCACTTCTCTTTTATATTCTGGCAAAATAGAAAGAATTCTCTGAGAACAAGCAATCATTCCCCTGCATGAGTTGTCCTCAACCTGTAGCCTACAAGGACATTTAATCTGACCAGCGGTCCATTTATAGTAGTTTCTTTTCCTGAAGGCCACCTGGTAGGTGCTTCAGGTTGGACAATGGTACAAAATACCCATTATCATCAATGGTCACGCTATCTTAAATTGGTTCTGAATTGTTTTGTGTCATGCTTCTCTAGTTATCTAGTTAAATAGAACTTTTTCCTTTCTCATGTATGCTGTTTCTCATTAGCTTATAATGGAACATATCACATGCTTTTGATTTTTTTTCCTTGTTTTCTGATTACAGTTTAAATCCCCAAGAAGCCTTACAGCTTAACCACTAATTACATACTTATATCAGTGTTGCAGAAAAGTGATGGGACCAAACTAGTCTTACAGGAAAATATTTTATGCCCTTTGGGATTCTACCAGTACAAGACATTGGGAAGAAAGAGTAGAATGTGATAATCTCCTTGGAGTTTGTGACTTTTCTCATAAAACATAGAAATGGCCATGTTTGCTCTGTCACTACATCTCTAATTTCTTGGAGCACTACCGATATCATAAAGCAGATAAAACCTCTCAAAGAGGCTACTTGGCAAATGTCCTTACCACACCACTATAATTCCCCTCCTCTGTTCTCACTGTGCACGGTTCTAACCAAACTTAGTGCCCTGACAGCACCAGGTGTATGAGTGGCTGAGGATGCTGCATCCCACACCCTAAGGAACTTTACTGAAACAAAACCACTGAGCTGCTCTGGAAACTGGGCTACCAGTTGTCCATTCTGCTCAACAACTAGCATTCTCTGGTGTTTTCTTCTACCTACTGATAAACCCCTTCCCAGACAGCCCTTAGGTATGATTTGTATAACAGCACTGAGAAATAATGGAAAAAAAGCTCCCTTTGCCACATGCAGATACCTGACACTGCACCACCAGGCGCTGCCCTCGGACACATCTGGGTACCCAAAGGTACATGACACAGTCTCTGTGGCTGTGAAGATATCAGGATGACATGTTGCAGCACAACCCTCAGACATTTGTTTCAACCATTGGGAACTAGAAAAGGAAACCAGTGATAGTAAAAATGCCTTAGACCCCACAATGGGATAGCCAGAACAAGTGCTAAATGTAGTATGGACCTGACAGTCTTCACCCATCTGCAGGGTCAGAAAACAGTCCTTAAGCCCATTTTTTTTAATAGTACAAGGATAGACTTCAATGCCTGATCACACATCTACAAATCATTACCACAGTACCCAAAGGACAGTAAGTGTCTCGCCTGTTTCCTTATCTGTTGACTCTCTTCCAAGCTGGTCTGCACACGTAAGAATTTCCACATAACTTTAATCCCATATTAGCACCTTGATATGCAGATAACATCTGCAGGTCTAACATAATCTTTTCCACACAGGAAACTCCCAAAAGAACTGAGTAACTGCATAACAAATAAAGCAATGACTTCATATCTTACTGGAATTAAACCAAACTGGTCATCTGTGGCAATACATGGCAATTTTATGGTCATCAAGATTTAGAACAAGAAGAATGAATTGCCTTAGTCATGTGGAAAAATATGAATATTGGGTTGCTAGAAAGGAATTCAGTCAGTGGGATAATAATGTCATTCTTGCAGTCAGTACCCAGCAACTATTAAGGGACAGTACATCAGTGTTGTGTCTCATTGGAAAGACGTCAAATTCCTCAGTATGACAGAGAATGGGTCCCTGAGATGATATACAAGGAATGGTGTCACCTTTTGAAATACAAAAAGAACTATCAGGGACCCATAGCTACATCTTTATGGTCTCTATATTGCTTTTGGTTCAGCTTAGTTAACACAACAATGGTAGATGATGACTTTTTGAAACAACAACGGAGATGCAAGTCAAAGGAACCTGAATTATAGGATTTGTGCTGAGAAACTTACTAAAATGTGGAAGCTAATGGAATTTCAAAAATACACAGAAAAATTACATTGCTACCTTATGAATCACAGATTGAGTAGTCAGAACCTTTTTCTTGTCTTCCATTTACAGCACTATGAATCATAGTTCTTTTTTTCTGAGTCAAATTCCATTTAATTTTGTCCCATGTCTGGAAAAAAAGGAGGATTACTGTATGTTCATTGCACAACACGCGTTGTAATGTATAAGGATCTGTGGATTTCCTCAGAGTAACCACTTCAGTTCAAGCGACAAGCTCATTCGTTTCTCAGCTTTCTCCTTGTACAGTAGTTCCTATTTAAAATGCCCTCTATGTACAAAAACATTCTTTCATCATTGTTAGAACTATAAGGGAATTTATTTAAAAACTCGTGGACTTAGGTTCAGAAGTCCATGGGCTTCTGCTGAGCTATCTACTTATAAAGTACCAGAGCTACTGCAATTTTTAGGCATGACAGAATTTAACTGTGCCATTGGCAGTTTTAGGAAGCCCCTCCTTTCAGAGGTTTCTATTATTTTGGAGCATTGTTTTTTATTATTCCTAACACATTTCTTGATTACCTATCCTTGAGGCACTTTACACTTTCCCTAAATACTTCATCCTGTTAAATATTTGCAAAAGGATGAAATGTCATTTCAGCAGGTGCTGAAATCAAGAGTGGTGAACAGGTTGACAAATGAGCGGTAGTACAAGAACCATTGATCACCTTTCTTCACATTTATGTTTTCAAGTTTTGAACTTTACATTCAAAACAGTGAACTATGCCAACAAACACTCTTGATGTCATTAAACACAGACAGAATTTAGAAAGACTCAATAGAGAGACCTCTACATCCAACAGGAACAAAAGCAACTTAAAAATTTCCAGCCATATTTGTGTCAGTTGATACCAACTCCCACTGGAACTATCTGGAATTTCTGTTTATATAAAATACAACCTAATGACTGCTTGCCATGGAAATTATATATAATCATTTGCCTTTAAAAGAATGACTTGTGAACTTTGTGAAACTTGGAAGTTTTGTAATTTTTGGATGCATGAGTTCTAGGATCACTTTCTCAGGCTGCCAAAATCCTGCCCTCCCAGGCTACATCCACCCCTGCCAAATGTGCTGTTAGCTCTGCTTGTGTTAGCATTGGAGCTCACAAAACCAGGCAGCAAGGCAGTGCAGGGAATCAAAGCAGTCAGAAATGGGCAACAGAGAAAACAGAAACAATTCCCTGTGGGTTTAGGTCCCTGAACTGGGTCATTGGAGACTGTCAAATTCTGACTCTGGTGTGGGAGAGGCAGAGAGACTTCAGAGAGACTCCATCTTCCCACTGCCCACACAGGGTACAAGAGAGAGGCAGCACAGACACATAATGCCTTCTGAGGAAACCACCACTGAGCATGAGACAAAAAATACTATCTTGATAACAGTGGGGCATCATCAGATGCCAGAAGTCATGGTAAGGAAAGTGTTTAAACTAGAACTTTTCAAGTACAAGTTTGAGCTTCTTCATGAAGAACACAGAAATTTTTATTGGATTAGAGTTCCATCTTAATGCTAATACTGAGCATGTTTATCAGCTCTCTCCTTTTATACTTGAATATTAAAAATCACATTATTTACTGAAAAGATGCGATATGCTCTGACTGTACGACAAGCAAGCATTTTGTCAGTTCTCTCCCTACTGATTTTCCTGAATTATAGAAAAATGCATTTTAAAAAATGCTAATTTTAAAAATGTTCCCTTCTGTTAAACCCTGTGGTGCATTTTTTTCCCCATGTTATTCTGATGAGATTAATTAGTGGTGAGAGAACTGACTGTTTTTCTTCCGGAGACCTGAGGTCAGAGTGCTGCTCTGCCGAGTTCTTCTGTGAAGCTTTATATCCCTTAGGATGTGTCTACAGCATCTGACAATCATACTCCCCCTTCCCAGTACAGGCAGACCTAAGCCAACTTGGGTCCCAAAGATATGTGGCTATGTCAGCACAGCACTGAGCCTGCTAAATACACCCTAATTAGCAGAACTGTGCAGCAGAGGCTCATGACTTTTCGGCTGTAGGCTGGCATCTGTCCAGCCAGCTGGGAGGAGACATTAGGCTGAGTGAGTACTAGTGCTGCACCTGCAAAGCAAGGGCTGTGACCTGCATCAAAGACAGAGGGAGGGAAGACAGATTGTGAAGACCCCAAAGAGTAGAAATACCACAGAAAGAGGCAGTGTGAGTATCTACAAGGTTGCAACTCAGTTTGGTAGAACTGGACCACTTTCCCTCCTTGCCACTGCTGCCCTCGGGGCCAGGCCTTTCCCCAGGGGCTGGCAGAGGACCCTTTTACAGAATCATAGAATATTCTGATTTGGAAGGGATCAGAAGAAGATCCACGAGGATCATCGAGTCCAACTCCTAAGTGAATGGCCCTTACAGACTCTGCCATTATTAGCACCACATTCTAACCCAATGAGCTTGCACTCATTCTCTTATGCTTATTTTAAAGCCCTTCCCTCTACAGTAAATCCTTGCTGATTCATACCCGTAGCAATTGGGCCAAAACCTCACGATGGGGATTTCCACAATCATTTCATTGATATTTGTTGGGCAGGATGTGAGGAATCAGCTGAAAGACACAGACTGGTGCTAAATGAACCTCCCTGCTGTCTCTGTAATTGGGCACACACCTCGCAATCAACGCGTGTTCGGGACTAGCAGGAGTGAAAAGTAAGTAACATAAAATTTTAGAGGTAAAATAACTTCAGACTGTCAGTGTACTACAGCTGATCTGGAAACCTTGCAAATGTCTAGTGCGAGAAAATTCTCTGTCCCCCTTCCTGTGCCTGCCGCTATCCTGGCGCTGCCCCAGCCTGGTCCCTCTTCATGCCCTCGCCCCGGGGCTGGGGACGGCGAGGAGGGAGGAATCTGCCCCTCCGCAGCCCTCAGCCCATGACCGCACGCCCCAGCTCCAAACCCCAGCGAAACCTCCATCCCGCGAAGCCCCGGCAGGCAGACGGCTCCCTGTCCCTGGAGAAAGGGCCGGGGATGGGGGGTCCCGCCCGGGCCGAGCCCCACCCGCGCCCCTGCCGCCGGACCCCCCAGGGCCTTGTGCGGACGCGCCTACCTGGACACGCCTGGCTGTGGTCGTGGCAGCAGTCCCCGGCTCGCCGGCAGCCCCCGTCGCAGTAGCAGGTCCCGTAGCCCCCTCCCTCCCTCCATCCCTCGCCGACGCAGGAGGCATCCCGGCCCTGGCAGCACTTTCCTGAGCAGCTGCCCCCGGCCCCGCTCCCGGCCCACAGCAGCCCCAGCCACAGCGCTCCCGACAGCGCCGCGCCGCCCATCACCGTGCTGCCCATCACCGTACAGCCCATCATCACCGTACAGCCCATCATCACCGTACAGCCCACCACCGAGCCGCCCCGACGTGAGGATCCCGCACCGCTGCGGCCGCCGCGGGCCCCCGGCGGAGCGGGGCGGGCTCGGCGGGCAGGCGGCGGGGGCGGGCGGGGGCGGCCGGCGCGGTCCTGCCCGGCCCTCCCTGTCCTGCCTGGCCGGGCAGCCGGGCCCGCTCACAGCCCCGAGGGGCACCGGGCAGCGGCAAAGCTTCGGGGTGCGGGGCGAGCGGGAGCCTGGGCAGGTACGGTGTCCTGCCAGGTGGTGGGTGTTTCCCGCGGGGTCCCCGTGGTAGAACCCACCTAGCGATGTCCCACACAGCGATGTTCTTTCTGTAACGGGATGTACTGGGACTTGCACAGCCATGTCCCACACAGTAGTATCCCGCTCTGCAGGGACTCACACAGATATGACCCTCGCGGTGATGTCCTGTGCAGGGATGTCCCGCCCAGCAGGACCCACACTGCCATGTCCCACACAGTGGTGACCTGCAACGCACCCCATGGCAGTCTCCCACATGGTGATAACCCTCACAGCAACATCCCACACAGCAACGTCCTAGGGCGTGGTGACTCTCACCAAGGTCCTACACAGCAGTATCCCACACTCCATTGACCCCCACAACAATGTTTGACACAGTGATGTCCCTTCCACAGAGAGATGTCCTGCACAGCAGGGTCCCATGTATTGGTGAGCCACAGAGCAATATCCTTCACAGCAGCGTCACACAGCCATGTCCTGCAAAGGACCGAACGTTCCACCTGGCAGTGTCCCACACAGCTGTGAACTGCCCAGCCATACCCTGTGCAGGGGTGATGCACATGACAGTGACCCACACAATGGTCCTGGAGCATTTCTATCCATCTCCACACAGCCCAGTGGGTGCAAACAGCCTGGGACCACAAGACAAGATTTATTGGTACAGGCACTTTCTCATTTCAGGGCACATCCCACACAGCCAAGAGCATTTGCTGTATTATGTTTTTCATTTTCTTTTTTTTTTTTTTTCCCTTTTTATTTTAAAGTGTTTCCAGAACAAACAAAAGAAGCTGTACTTGCAGGTGTATAAGAAAAGCAAGGTGGATTCCCAAGTAACTTCCTAAAATACAAAGATTTGGATTCTGGTTTTCAGCTCACTTCAGTGCTAAGAGGTTTTCAGGATTAATGGAACCTGACGATTTTAGCCAAAAGTCAAATCCCAAAAGTAAGTGGTGAGGTGACTGCAAAAATATGTTAGCTTTGCACACTTCAATTTGCAGATAGCTACTAAAGAAAGAGACATCTGGTCTCCCAAATCTGCCTACAGATGGGAGGTAACAGTCTATTATATTATCTACTACATGTGGGTACTTAAACCCCCAAGACAGCTTGGGCCAGGAAGAGTTCAATTTCTTATAGCCATCAAACATTGCTGTTAAAATGTTGTCTAAATCCCTGAGGATTGGGTCTGCACTGTTATCCAGCGTGCCATTAATGAACTCACTGGCATATTGCCAGCCTAAAACTTGAACCAGTGAATAGCAAATGTTGGGGGAGTTCCTGCAAGTGGGTGGGAGGAGAATAAGACTTGCAGCCTGCCTTGGTAAAGGCAGTGTCAGAGAAGGAATGACTCCATATTTTCCTTTCCTTTAATATATTCCTGTGCATCACCTGAAAGGCAAAATATTAGCAAATAGTAGTAGAAACTACCTTTGTAAGTAGATAAATCATGTGCAAACGACTTATGCTAAAAGGATAAGTCAGTAAAACTTGGACAAATTCAGAACAGATTAAAGAGGGGCTTTGACGTAGTGGATATGTTTACAGAAAAAACAAGAAAAATATGTCTGCAATGGTCCAGTAAAAAAAAAAAATACACACACACACACAAAAAAAAAAACCAAAAAAAACAAACAAAAAACCAGAATGCAAATGAAAAATGCTATAATTTCTACTAGATGTAGTAAAGCAGATGTTTCAGAGCAAACAAAAAAAAGAATCTTAATTAGGGGAGAGAACAAGCTCACCCAATTTGTTCCGGTAAATACTTTTTGTTTTTTTCTTTTAGTGTAGTTTCTCTATTAGCAGTAGCACTAGGTAACTAGGTAACTAGGACAAAGAAACACAGTGATGTGTTCTCAGGCAGTGAGGCAGCATTGAACCCTTCAGACAATTCCAACAAAATAGGTAGGGATTTCTTTCTAGTCTGACATGAGATGATCCTCAGAAAGTTGGTGATGCTCATGCCCTTCTGTTGTTTATCTTTTTGTCATGCAGAAAACTTTACAAGGAAAAGCAGTTTGGGACAAGGGTGATTTAAAATGCTTGTGTAGGTAAGCTTAGGGAATGTGCAGAGCCCTTGCTCTGTCTTCTTTGTAAGCCTCAGAGGAGCATTGCATGTAGCAGAGGTCATCAGGCATCTGTTCCACATGTGCACTTTGTGCCAAAATATTTCTTAATCCCAGAGGTGAGGAGAAATCTAAGGACTGTATTGTAGTCATCTCAAAAACAGGTGTTGCTGTTGGCTCTGAGATTTTGAAAACCATGGTCTAGATCAATTTGTCAGCCATTTTTGTACTTCTTTCCATTTCTGCCCTATTTTAGCTTTGGAAACTCTAAACTCAAATTTCCAAACTAAAACCTAACTGCAGTATTATATGGTAGGAGGGGAAAAGAAAACAAGGCTGTGAAAAAAATTTTCAACTAATTTTTCAAACATATATATGTTTTCAATGAGTCTTGTTCCATCATTTTATTTCCAACCAAACTATCCCCATTGCCTTACATGGAGTTCTCCTTGGCTTCAAATACCACAAAGATAAAATTGAGACAAATGCATCCCAACAGTAAATTAGAATGAGAACTAGTCTTTATTATTTAGCATAGTTGTTTATGCTTTCTATGTATACAGCATGTAAAGCAGGGCCAAACTCTTACTCTCTGTCCATTCCTGGGGTGCACAACTACCCATAATATTAGGCAGAAGGCTGAAAGCACCTGCAAGTGGGAACAAAATATATGTTTGATAGTAAAATACCTCTCTTATTTTTCAAGTTTAACTTACAGCCGCAGTGACTTTGAGTACCTGATGTAAGGACTATTCAACTCAACTTCAAAGTCTTTTTCAAATACATTATCTGTCAGGCAGCAGCATTCCACATGCCCACACCTCCTCATGAGCAAACTCTCTGGAAGGTCCTAACTTGCAAAAATAGAGCTAATTTTACTTTGCTTCTAGGAGGTTAATCCAATGGCATCAAAATGAGAAGACTTCAAAGATCCTGCAGGGCATTTCTTTTTCTTTCAGACTCATGTTTGCACACAACTCTATTTATTTGAGAGAAATACCCTTCCAAAAGCAAACCGCTTACATTTTATATTGAGGCAACAGGGTGACTGATGTGACTACAAAGGTTACAGGCTGCCTCTATCCTGCTATGCAGGGCCATGCTTCCTGAGAGCACCACAGTCAGCTGCAGCTTGAGTTTGTCATGAGGCCCTTGTTCCCATTGTTCTGATAAAGTAGACTTTCTCCTGATAAGAAATAATCCCTCCTAAGGTGAATAACCAAATCATGGTGTTTGCTAGTGCAGCTGACAGCTTAAAACAATAGCAACATTTTGTATGTAAGAAAAATGAGGAGTAATTTGTCTTTGCTGACAATCAGCCCATATAAAAGCACAGTAGATGGTACATAAAGGAAGGTTTCTATAGTTTTGTAGCCTGTGCAGTTATACAGAAGGCATGATGCTGTTTCAATGACTAGCTTGTCTACATCAAATCACTCATAAGAGAGCAGGCTGAATACCTGCCTATATTTGAGGGAGGTCATTTGCTGTGCAAAGAGACTTTCCCTTCCACCCTCTTAGCCTTGGCAGTCCTGTCAGGCACAACCCTGTCATGGGAGATATGTTGGCTCACTGCATCTCAGTTACAGCTATTGATTTTGGTCGGGGTTGGTAATGATGCATAAAATTGCTTGAATTTCAGAGTTTAATGGAATTATAGCAGAGCTATCTATCAGGGTATTTTTAGCTTATTTTTAAAGGCCTTCATCCTCCCTGTTAGCTATTGAAGAAATGTTCAAGTAGTGAGATGAATACAAAGCTGCTGTCAAGCTTCCACATAGAAAAAGTCAGGCAAACTTGTATGTCCAGTCTAAGCATATCAGGGCTGGAAAACATCCTTTTCCTGTCTTTTCCCCTGAATGTCTCTTTTTTTCAGTTCAGGGAGCTGAAATGAAATGGAGCAGCTGAGCCAGCATGAGAAAGGGGAGGTAACCCAGGGCAGAACGGACAGAGAGGGCAGCAGGACTGCCTCCACCAGCAGCAATTAATGATGAGACTGGCTCAGCTAGTGCACTCATAAGCCAATGTGCTGAGTACCTGGCTATATTTGAAGAAGAGCATTTGCAGCATAACCAGTGATGCACAAAGTGCTGAGTTTTTTAGCTCCTGGTCCTGGAAAGTCAGACTGTTATTCAGACAATCTGTCCTGGTTCTTCAGGCCAAATAGGACACTTGTGCTTTCAAAGGCTTTGCTCAGATGTGAAGGCATCTATTCATTATGTGTGAGGAATACAGCCCACCTGACTCCTGTTTGTTAGTTATCTTCCCAGGTAGTTTTACATTTTAAAGGCACACAATCATTCAGAGTAAGAGAAGGTGGCAGTTTAACATAACCACTTTCCAAAACAGAACTCCCTCTTATAAAATTGTGGGTCCCTTCCAAGCCATCTTATTCTCTGATTCTGTGAAAATAAGTATCCCAGGATGTTATTCCACATACTTTCCTGTTTCCCCTGCTTTGAGGTTATTTTCTTTAGTATTTAGAGACCCCCTCTTTTCTGCAATCATGACTAAATCAATTACTTCCCTTCCCAATGTAGGAATCACTATTACCATTTTAAAGATAGAATAAAACAATACTGAGAGATTAGGGCACCTATCCAGCAAAACACTTAAGCACTTGCATAACCCAGGGCACACAACAACCCCAC